GGCATGGGCTGTCCCCCCCACCAAAGGCGCGTGAGTTGGTATGGTCGTGCACGCGTCATAAATAAATAAAAAGGAAGCGGACAAAAATCTCACATTGGAGAGCTAAATCCTTCGCAAGCGCGTGAACACACAAACCCACAAACTCCGCCACAACCCACACACAAACAATTTTTGACTTTGATGTAATCATCCAATTTGCTTTTTTTGCCACTGCTAAAATGTATTGATAATTCAGCTTTATAAGGATCTCGGTGCTTGTGCAACGAAATAAATTATATCACTACAGTACAGCGACAGTACCGAGTGGTACTGTACACGGGGTGCCGTTTTATGGCACCAGTGTGTGCACTGCATTAAGGGGCTCACTAGAGGGCAGGGTCCGGGTGTCACGGAGGTCGGGTCAGGACATGACAGTCTGCGTGAACCCGCGAGAGCACGTGACCGAACGAGGGGGCACACGGACCCCCAGAAGGGGGTGAGAGGGCCACGTGGTAGGGACCGAGAGCCTCCACAAAGGATCTCGAAGGGGGCGTGGCCAGCGGCAGAGCCCGGTCACACTGGAGCAGTTATAAGCCCAGTCCCGAGCGGGAGCTGGGCTGTTCCACCCAGGAATGAAGCCGCCTTCTTCGATCCTCGTTCTTTAGTCTTCGTGCACGAGGACCAGGTAGCGTGTTAGCTGTCCTGGTCTGATCATATAGTGATCCTGTTTCAGTGGTTAGGTGTTAGGAGCGGTGGCCACCACCCTATGTAGTTAACCCGAAATGTACATAGTTAACCCTAAATGTACATAGTTAACTTGGGAGCGTTGCGCAGTTATCTGTTATGTTAGCTGGTCCGAGTTGTGTTAGTAAATAAACGTGTTGCCTCCAAGACTCGGCGTGCGCCTGTTAAGAACCCACTACACTTGCATGATCTGAACCATACCCCATCCCCCCCGGCATATGTTTCTATGTTTGATATTTTTTTTTTGATATGCATCTATGTACTACATACACTTATTTTAAACATTTTTTTAGTGAGTCCAACTGAGTCACAGACGTTGTCTTGGGAGCAACACTATTTATTTAATCAACTCAACATAACATAACACAACCTAGACTTGGGTATTGAATGCCCATCTAGCCGCGCTATGGCAGAACTAGACACGGTTCGCTATCCCGACCCGGACCACAAGCTGGGTCCCGGACCATGTGGCTAGAGGCGTATTTTATCCGATGTCGATCTTCTTCACCACCAACACGAAGAACCCCAAGTCCCTCAAGGGGCCCCCGTTATATCGGCCTGGGCTGAGGCTGGCTCCGTCCCTCGCCCTGCCCACCTTCTAGATCTCTCGAGCTCTTTCCCGAAAGCTCTCGAGAGCTCTTTTATACCACGTGACTGCCCAGCGGCCCCCGTCCACCGGTGACCCCCCTCCACTATCATCTGGTCACGTGTCGGCAGGTCAACCAGCGTCTCAGGCTTCCTCTCGCTCCATCACCGGGAGCCCGCACCGCACACTGTACGTGCTGCCTCCCCGCTGACCAGCGCTCACCCAAGCCCCGCTAGGACTGGTATTACGCCCAGTAAGCGGGCTACACATAATGCCAACACATTATCTTCCGTGGCTTCGTAAGTCCGGCACCACACAGTGACATTCACAGTCACTACACATTTGTAGTGGAGTAGCGCGTGCGGGGTTTGCAAACGGTGTGCACACATGTGTGAGTTGCGAACAGTGAAGTCACTTCAGGGCACACAGGTGCGGAGAGAGACGGCAACCAGCGAAGGTGACCAATTAAGATGCATAACGGTGATTGGCTGGCTGCAAATGCAGACACGGTGTAGGCGTCTCGGAGTCTGGAGATTGAGGCGATAACGGCGAACGAGGGGGGGGGCTCGCCAGCTTAATTAATGAGGAGTTAATGAGTGAGGGGATATAAGGCTATGTGCGGAGACACACGGGAGAGCTGGGTTGGTTGGAGTGAAGACAAGACAAGTCCGGGCCCCACTCTCCACACCTCGTCCTCTCAAGTGGAGATGCCTGGTCCACCGCTGGAGGCAGGGGCGAGGATGGAGGAGCGAGGGTAGACAGGCTAGCAGTGGAGAAGCTTACAGAGTATATAGTGGAAGACTAGCAGTGGAGAAACTAGCAGAGTATATTGCGGAAGGCTAGCAGTGGAGAAGCTAGCAGAGTATATAGGCTAGCAGTGGAGAAGCTACCAGAGTATATAGTAATAGGCTAGCAGTGGAGAGGCTAGGAGAGTGAGACAGAGAACAGGCTAGCAGCGAGAGGCTAGCAGAGGGAGAGAGAGAGCGGAGCGGGCGGAGCGGGCGGAGAGAGCGAAGTTAATGATTGAATGTTGCCGATAATTTATATATTACAAGTTTGTTGAATATACTAAATGATTCTAATATTCAAACATGTTCACTATTTTATTTTGGTTTAACACATAGGGTTTTTTAATTGTCTTTACCAAGTAACACCCACTGAACTTGTCTCTTTTTCAGAAGCGACCTTTCCACAAATGATAGGCCACGTGGAAATTTATAGCAGCCAAACAATCTAAACGCATATTTCTAAGTGTGGAGGGGAAAACCAGAGGACCCGGAGAAAAATCCAAGCGACCACGGGGAGAATATAAAAAATCCAAATATACAGGCGTTTGGTTCGAGATCGAACCCACGACCCCCTGTAAACCAGGTGACGGAGATAATATCTCGCCACCGCAACACCTTATAATGAAGCAGCAATTGTTCTGTGATGCCACAGCAGCGAAGCCGCTCCGTCGAGACCGGGGCCATCGCTGTGCTGCTGCAGCCGAGGAGCCACCCGGCTCCCGTCACAGCGCTCCCCCCACCACCCCCCACATAAACACACACACACGCACTCACGTAGGGCCTCGTGGGGAGGTCACCGGCCCCGGAGTTTTCACCCGAGGGCCCCCCCTCGTGGGGGTGCTCCACGGTTTCTCAGGGCCAGGGAATTGGCAGGCCCCCCCCAGGTCGAATGGCACTGCGGCGCCGTGGATTGACTTAAAATCGCATGACCACAGCGGGCTCAATGAGAACCGCAATGAAGAAAGCCAAAAAGCACACGCGGACCGGCAGGCAGGTGGCAGGGGGGCGGGGCGGAACAGGTTGAGCCCTACCATGCAGCGGACCACTGAGGACCGAAAAGTACACACACAATGGCAGGCAGACGGGGGGCAGGGCGGCACCGGCTCACCTTTAGTTGTCGGTGGTGCACTTAGTTAGACAATGGGGGGCGGGGCGTCGGAGGGGGGAAAACCCGATTGACCAGGGGCCAGCGGATTGGCGGTGCGTAGGCTTTGAAGCTGGAGCATAAAAGGGGGTGAAATTGGGAAGCTCTCTCTCTTTGTGCTTGGGGTCAACTGGAGAGGGGAATCGAGGAGTCGTCAGCTCCCTGCCACTCGAACGTCCGTGAGACGGGTCAGAGAGCAGCCGGGTCCAGTGTTCCCAGCCAAAGCCACATGCAGCCTCGCCTATCCGCGGCTTCCTACCCCTCGAAGTCGGAGCGTAAGTATAGAGTGAAGAGGTAAGTCTGAGGAGAAAATCCCGTAAAGGGGTGAGTAGGGAGAGACTAGGCAAATTGAGCCCTAAACAGTAGAGAGATAGGTTGGATCTGTCCTGCTGGTCCACACTGACACGGGTAGATTAACTCTAATTAAATAGAGAATAAACCACCGGTAGACACTAACCCGTGTCGTGTCATCTCTGTGAGTACGGGGAGAGGAGCGCGTGGTGTGGTGAGCCTGTGCGTTGGGTGGCGTCTTGGGCTTGCGCACGAGCGCATATTTTGCCCGCGTGTGCGCGTTCGCCGTGCACGTTAACTGTGAGCCCGTGCGTTGTGGTGCCCCGCGTGTTCTGTACACAGGGGCACTCTCGCCGATGCGCGGCTCGTGATCGGCGTGTACGAGAAGGGCACCGCGGCGTATCTGCAAGTTGGTTAGTGCAGCTAGTTAAGTCGTGCCCCGAGGAGCAGCAGCGAAGGGGGGAGAGCAGGAGGACGGTGGGTTACAGGAGAACGGGGAGACGGGGGGCAGCCTCCTTAACAGTACCACCCCCTGTCCCTGGCTTGAAAGCAGGTCCCCAACCATCTCGCCCCTACAGCTGGAATCATTCCAACTGTGCATGCGTGCAAGGGGGACGATGGCCAACTTATAATAAAATCACAATTTTAAAAATGTATGTTTAAGCACGCTCATTGTCATAACAGAGTATGTTCGACACCTTTCATACAATAATTGTATGTTTCAGAGATACAGAGCGTGACTGACAGACACTTCCTCTCAAAACGAATTCGGGTTCAGATTTTCACTACCACCACGGTGTACTGCCTATTTTCGGGCCCCATTTCTTGCACTGCAAATGGGTGGGGTCTTCAGCCGTCAGTTACATATAAGTCGACTATTTACATCGCAAGATGTAAAACATCAGTGGAAACTGAAGGGTTTAAGTCAGTGGAGTCAGTGCATCACCTCGCTGCGCACAACTTCTCTGCGCGAGCGTCGACTTGAACCTGCCACGTGCAACGAAACCGCCTTTTGTTCCCCTGTGAAACCACCCGATTGGTTCCCTTACCGTGCGTGCGACCGCGATCTCGTGTCTGATTGGCTACAGCCGCAGCGTGGGGGTGCCCCACGCCCCCTTGCTCCGAGGTTGTCATATAAGAAAGATGGCGGCGCGGGTTTTTTTTTGTAAAGTCATCGCGCGGCGACTTCGCGCGAGACTTCGCCTCACCGCCGTCACGCTGCAATCACGCGCGGGCACGTCACGCCCCTCGCGAGGGCCACGCCTCCCCCCCCCCGCCTTACTTTGGCAATGTTGTCGCAAAGGCAAGGGCGGCCATCTTACTCGGGGGTTAACGCCTCTGGAGGGAGGATCCGCTTCTAAGAACGTTGGCTCGACGTCATCAAAAACGCGCCGCGCGCCGTAGGAACACATTCGGGGTTTACCCTATGCAAGATGGCGATCAGGTTTCCACGTCGGCTGAGTTGTCACGCCCAACGCAAGCCCAAGGCTACATGTAAATCCACAACAAGGAACTCGCCATATTCTCTCCCCCTGTGGGTGCAGACGGCGCTCGCGGTTTTGCCGGTGAGACACAGCAGTAGACGCGGCAAAAGAGGCAGCTGGAGACGAGAGTCGAGAAGGCGGCTTTGTTATCGCTGAGCGAGGAGGAGGAGGAGGAGGAAGGAAGGAAGGCGGCCGTTCCGATAAGAAAGCGACGGTCGCTGGATGCGGCATGGCAGGCCCTGCGGGGGGTGGCAGGGCGCACTCGTTCAAGGCGGTGTTGTTGGGCGAGGGCTGCGTGGGGAAGACGTCTCTGGTGCTGCGCTACTGCGAGAACAAGTTCAATGACAAGCACATCACAACGCTACAGGTGCCCAGCGTGAGCGTGCGTGTGTCTCCACGTGCACCTAGCCTGGCACCGAGCGGCACGGTGACGTTACTGGGTTTTTTTAAAGTCGCGAGAGGCGGATGTTGTTGATGTTCATGTGGATTTAGGGGTGGGGTGGGGGGAGAACACGAGTCGCATGGGACAGCTACGAACCCGGTGACCTGGGATCGGTTCCCCCTCAACGGGGACCATCAGTGGCAGAATATCTGCCCAAGGATTGGCCTCAAACGAATGCAGCACAGAGCGCCGCGCCTGGTGCGGTGTGTAAAACGTCGCGGTTTCGACCACATCGCTGAAGCGACGTGGCGGCCTTAATAGGTGCTCGCCAACAGCACCTGCCCCGACGGGCTGCACGTGGGGAGGCGATTGCCCGCGTGTCTTTGGGTCACTGTGTGGCTTAATATTTGTGGCACTGTTCGTGTGCCTTTTGGGTTCTTCACCGTCATTGCCTTAGGCTTGTATGTATCGCTCGGTAGGTTACTGCGCGTGTGTGTGTGTCTCTTATTGAGGGTTATCGAGTGTGTCACTCGTGTCACTGGTTTTGGGTTAATGTATGTGTCGCTGGCGCGTGATGTGTGTGTGTGTGCGCGTGCGTCATTGGTTACAAATACAAATATCCCCCATGTAGCCTTAACAGGACTTTTGGGCCAAGTGCTGTTGGCGAGCACCTTTGAAGGCCGGCACGGCGCACGAAGCGGCAGCACCACGCCTGGCCGCCTTTGGCTCCCTCGTGGCAAATGTTTATACACCGCACCAAAATAAAATTTAACATGAATCTTAAATTCTGGGTGTTTGCTTCGGGTTGTATCGCTGTCTTTTGCCTACTGTGGTTGTCAACTGGGTTACAATGTGGGTGTGAGTTAATGTTTGTGGCACGGTGTTTATCACTTTTTTTGTGGTCTGTGTGTGTGTGCGTGCCGTTGTCATCAGGTCACACTGGGTTACAACATTTGTCACTGAGTAGTTTGAGTAGTTTGCGCACTGCTGTGAACCCCGCGACCAACGTTTCAATCCTGGCCATGGCTCAAAGGAGTGGCAAGTGAAATCTGAATGTGTTCTGACCTTCCCACTTCATCATTGTGAACTGAACAGCATGGTCAAATGTGCAACTGCGTATGGGAGGCCTTCATCCAATTTTGGCTTGACAAATGGCTGTAAGTTTTTTGTTGTTGTAATATTGATTTCGTTTAAGGTATGTTGGATTGAGGTGGGAAAATGGCCTTTAGACTTCAAGAAAAGATCACAAGTAAAACAGTCCAAGGAGAATGCCATTTCAGAGCAGTGGGGGAGTAACCACCTCGCAATGTAAACATCGCTTTGCCAGTTACAAAGTTTTTCTAAAGGTGGAAGTATACAGTGCCACCTAATTCCTTAATGGCTCTTCCCATCTTAACATCCGCATCTTCCTCACATCAACATTTTCTTCTATTACGACTACACTAGCGTTCGTTACGTATTTTTTTTTAAATTATGTTTCTGGACGAGGGTTTAAAGACTTGGGGTTGTTGTAGCAGCAAGGTTCAACGGTTGAAGCACATGTTAATCTAACAAGATTGCGTGTGACCCCCGTGATGTGAGTGCGCTCGCTGTAATTTGAATGGTGTCCAAAGGGTCTGTAGTTTTACAGAAAGCGCTAATGCTGAGCCTTTCTATAATGAGTCTGCATGCCTTGCATGTGTGTTTTTGTAGCGTATGGCGATGTATTTTGTGACTTACCGGTACTTAATTTTCTTTGCATAAAGAATATTGGATACATGCTGCCTCTTTTTGGTGCATCTTCATTATCACACTCGTGATTGTCATGGGGAATGTCCTGCCAGTCGGGTACGTTATTAAGTACTGTTAATTTTTTTTATATATATACAGTACCTACCAAACTACGGCGTCCCTTAGACTTGTGCCAAGCAGTGTCATAATGTGCCGCTTTTTGTGCAGACCAATGCACTACATTGACTTAATGCATGTGCCCATGCTGTGATGGTTTTATGGCATGCCCCATAAAACTTGCTTTTTCTTTATTTAGTAATATAACTGAGTATTGTCCATTGTATGCGGAGTCGTCACTAAGCTTAATTGTGTGAATTTTAAGAGTGCCTTTTTTCAGTTTGAGAGTGCCATCTTGTGCCAAGTTAATTTGAGCTCAGCCATGGATGGAAATCTCATCCTTTAATGATGCCTTACAGAACACAGATGGGAAATCAGCTTAATTAATTTCCCCATTGCGTGGATTGATGTGTAATTGATATGGATGCGATCTCAACCCACTGAAATATGAGTTGGAAAACGAGTGCACTGTCTTCAGTCACTCACGTTTCAATGGTATTTGTTAATCTAAACTAAATACATGCACTTGTAGGCAGAATGCTTACTGTGCATTTCCCAACGACTTTTGCTGAATTTGCATCTTTGCTGCAGCGATTCCTTTCTCCACTTGCCAGGTACCTGCCATTTTCTAAGTCCATTGCCAATAATGAATATTGGGTCATGGGACATGACTTGTCTGTTAAGCAGATTGTGGATCACAGTTGACACGTTTTTTGCAATTTGCTCAAATGTGGTAACGTTTGTGACCGTGTGGGGAATTTCCTAATGGATAATATATAATTATTGAGAAATGTTCTTTTAGTAACTGATGATTCATATCCAGAATTATTGTTCACCACAGCCTGCACACTGGTTGGGTGGTGAAGCGGTTAGCAGGTTGCTCACAATTAGAAAATACGCGAATTCAAAACCTGGATGGGGGTTCATCCAAGCCCATCTTCTTACAACGGTTGATACAAATGTTTATTGTTTTGTGGAGAGGTCACTCGTAGTTGCCTTATTGGTGCTCATACACACCATAGGGATGTGGAATGTATACCACTGGACGAGGGCTGTAAACAGCAGATGACTACCATCCCGTGCTCATTTTAACAGGAAACTGCTTAGATATTTTTTTTTTACTTCTGTGCATACAGTATTGGGCTCTCCTTTGGAGCTATGTCTCCACTAATTCTGTAATTATTCGCTACCCTCGTGATTCAAATAATTGTCATGGAGTTAGGATTTCGCTTCAATTCAAGCATCATTTCTTTCATTTTTACATTGTGCATCTTGTGGTTCCAGTAAAATCAGGAGCCATATGAATCAATTGCATAAATGTTCGTAAACGTATTTACATTTGCACGCATGTATGTTGTACGTAGACATGTTTTAGGTTATGCATCATAACAGTGACCACTAGAGCGGGGCAATTACTCCAAGAACCATACATGTTTTACTAATATACGTGGACACAAGTGGCCCATGTTTATGCCTGGCAATAAGCACAAGGCTACCTGTGTGTATGCTACGCTGTGCACTTTGTTGCTGTGTGCAGCCTAAGCCTCCGCGAGGCTGGCCAGGTGCCATGGACTTCCCATATCGCCTTAACGCCACACTGGAGTTGCGATGGAATTGATCAAATTGCATGTACAGTGCTAGGCATTGATCGGTGCTCAGCATTGGGATCCTGGGATGGAATGCGCATTATAGATTTTAATTATTATTACTGGTGGTCTCATGTGGATTGGCAATTATGCTCGGTTGGCCAGGCCCCCCACAAGACCATGCTTGCTTGAATGCCACGCTAGCTCTGTGCAATCTGCCACACTGGCCATTCCATGTCGTGTACTTGCTAGGAATCGTATTTGACTCCCAAAGATCGAATCTTGATTTCAAGTTATGAATCGTGAGAATCGCCGAACTGTATAGGCACCACCGTAGGAATTTGTAATTTTTTCCCCACTGGTTTTGGTTGGAAATGGGAATGATTACTGTCCAGTGCTTGTGAATATATTTTGGTTATTGATCGTATGCTCAGAGCCCTGGATTATAATATTTTGTTAAGAGGGTTATTTGCTTTTTTTGTGGTTTATACTAAGGTCTTTTTGAAGTCACCTTTTAGATTTCTCCTGTGTACCATTTGCTTTTATCTGTTATTGGTTATACGTTGTGCTTTTTTGTGTTCAGCTGATATAATAAACAGCATCCAAACCCCTAAAGTAAATATTAGTCATAGCTTCAAGAGTGCATTGCATTTGGTCTGTTTATGCTGTGGCAGAGTGCCCATGAACATGAGTTCAAATTTCATTCGGTGGATGGACAACCCATAATTCTTCTTGGACACATTCAGCACTTTGATCAGGCCATTGCTGGATGAAGTCTCCCTACAATGTGTGGGTCATGTGGGTTATTTGACCATACTTAACCGTGCCAGTTCCTTGTTTTTTTTAGGTGAAGCCAGGGAGTATAGATGCTGCAGCACAGTACAGTTTAAGAATGGCTTTTTTTGCACTCTTCTCGATTGAGAATATGGTTCCGCATCATTCTTCAAGGGGTCATTAAAAATGAGAACCACTTTGTGGGAAGTCAATAGGACTTATCTATATATAGCTTATTGACATAGGAATGTGAAACTTCCATCGCTGGCTGTCAACGGAATGGAGCGTCACCCAATTATCTTTTTTTGAGATTGGGGGCACGCATTTCCTCTGAATGCATGGTAGAGGTGCATTATATTTATACATTACTAGCAGCCCCCATATTCTTTGGATGTGACTCTCTCTCCCTGCTCCAGAAAGCCAGGTGGCAAAACTGCTTTGAAATACAGGCAGTCCATGAGATACAAACGTCAGACTTACGAATGTCCGCATTTATGAACGAACCGCCATAACCATCCGACTTGCAAACGTTCGGTCGCACTTGTGAACTGAACCACGAAACTATTCTTCTCGGAGGAGCAATCTTCCACGAGATGTAACGAGTCTCCTCTTCGAAACGCCCCTTTCGACAAGCATCGGGATTCAAGGTAAGTGAAAATAAAACAATTATTTTATTTCATTTTCATCTTTCATTTTATTTACAGCAATACAGCAATCCCCTGTTGGATGAAGGGCCTCCTCTCACCGTGCCGACGTGGGATATTTAGCGCTCATGAACGCGGTTAAGCACTGTGGAAT